GTCGAATTCCCGATCAGGAAAATAGTTTTGAGTTTTGAATTTAGCACGTTCGAAACCTATTTTTCTTAGAGGTGACTTAAAGTGTAGACATGTAGTACTTTTGATCTTCCGCACTGAATTTGTAATTAGATAACTTATACGACTAGCACGTAGCTCTTCCAGGGACGGTACCTTGGGTAAGCCCTTTCATCTCCGAATTTTGTGTTTATTCTGCTGTTATGCAACAGCCTTCAAGGACTATTTTCTTTTAAGATATCTTTTCAAGTCTGATTTTAATTCTGTTACTAAGTTTATTATAATTTTTATATTGTCAATCTTGTTTTTGTTTTGCCCGAACTTGACTGTAAGACCAAGAAATTTAAATTAGAAAGACATTTCGTGAAGCGTAAACATCGCGAAGGTATCTACTTGGTTTTTCGAACTCCGTTCTACGTAGCCTAACGTGATTCGCTATTTAAGTGTGAAAACATGACGAAGCTTAGAGATGCTCCATAAGTGTCACCTTTATAAGTGGTGACCCACACTTTCCTCGAGAGATCAGAGCTAGTCCCCGTTGTAATAACTTGTGTAGTAAGAGAGAATAAAGAAAGAGACAACAAGACAACGAGTGTTGGAGTAATTTCAATTCTAACAATTGTCTATTTATCTTAAAAAGAACTTAAACTGTAGTAATGCTATCTAATGTGTGCTCCTCTTCGAAATACACAACGAATTTGTTTCTGAACCAAAATGTATATATATCTATATATTTCATGAAACTTTAAGATACAACGACTCAAGGAATTAAAAAATAACCCGTTTAGCTGTCTACTGTGTGCAGTTGTTTAAGTAACAACTCTTCGATTGGCTGAGAAAACCCCCAAAATGAGCAAAAGGCTACCTCTTAAACTAAATTAATTGGCTTGATATCTCGAAAAGTTTATGAACGAGTGTCCATTCTTTCAATATTTGTGCGTTTATATCTCTGCCAAAAAGGAAGATTACCATGATAATTCATAGCGCGTTAAAAAGGGAATGATTAGCTGTCTGTTATCTGAAAGAGTAAAAGTCACAGTTCTTTTGTGGGCTGATGAAATCCCCTCTGAATATTCAAACAGTAGAATTTTGTTAATGGCAAAGGTGACCCTTCAGCTTGAGTTTGCTCGAGGTCCCCAAAAGTTCATGGACAAAATTATATTGTTTCAATATTCGTACACTTATATCTCAGTCAAAAAGAGAATTTATGGATAATTCGTAACGCTTTAGGAAGAACGGGATAATCTGTCTACTACGGCCAAGTGTGAAAATCACAGCTCCTTAATGGGCCGCGAAAATCCTCTCAGAATATTTACACGATAGAATTTTGTTAATGAGCAAAGTGGATCTCTTGATCAGGGGTTAGGTGTTTACAAAAGCTCATTAACGATTTCTTTTGTTTTAAATATATTATCTTGGCCGAAAAGAGGATTTCCAAGACAATTCATGGCGCATTAGAAGGAGCTTCATTAACTTTCTATTGCAATTAAGTGTTAAAGTTACAGCTCTTTCCTGGGTGGAGAAATTCCTCTCTGAATATTCAAATAATAGAATTTTGTTAAAGAGCAAACTACTCCCTTTGGTTTAGGTTCATGTCCATGTCCTCAAAAGCTCATCAACGAGTTTCTTTTGTTCCAATATTTATGAACTCATCTCTCAATCAAAAAGAGGATTTCCAGGACAATTCATAGCGCGTTAAAAAGGGCGTGATCAGCTGTCTTTTGTGCTTAAGTGTCAAGCTTACAGCTCTCTCTTGGGCCAAGAAAATCACCTCTGAATATTAAGACAATACAATTTAATTAATGAGCAAAAATAGCCCGTTTTATTTAGGGTTGTGTCTATCTCCCCAAGAGCTCATTAACCAATTTCAATTGTTTTGATATTCATGCGCTTATATCTCCGTCAAAAAGAATATTTATGGATAATTCGTAACGCTTTAGAAAGAACGAGATTAGCTGTCTACTGCGGCCAAGTGTCAAAGTTACAGCTCCTTTATGGGCTGCGAAAATCTCCCCTGGATATTAAAATAATAGAATTTTGTTAATGAGCTAAAAGCTCATTAACCAATTTCTTTTGTTTTGATATACATGTGCTTATATCTTTGCTTAAAGAGGATTTTCAGAACAATTCTTAACGTATTAGTTAAAGCGCGATCAGCTGTCTATTTTGATTGAGTGTCAAAGTTACAGCCCTTTCGTGGGCTAAGAAATTCCTCCCTGAATGTTTAAACATTAGAAATTGTTTAATTTTTATGAGTAAAATAGACATCTTGAACTGGGGTTACCTTAAGATCCCCAAAAGCTCAATAACCAATTTCTTTTGTTTTAATATTCATGCGCTTATATCTTGGCCGAAAAGAAGATTTTCTGCACAATTCATAATGTATAAGATAAAGCGTGATCAGCTGTCTATTTTGATTGAGTGTCAAAGTTATAGCTCTTTCGTGGGCCGAGAAATTCCCCTCTGAATATTCAAACAATTGATTTTTGTTAATGAGAAAAATAGACCCTTTGATTTAGGTTTATGTCCATGTCCTCAAAAGCTCATTAAGAATTTCTTCTCAGTCCCATGCAAATAAATTAGACATTCCTCATGTTTACTGCAGGAGTAAGATAAAAGAAAAATTTACAAAATGAATTTTTTTAGTAGACAGTCCAGAACAAATTTCTTGAGGAAATTCACGTTTAGCTTCTGTTAACAGCTGACTTGACAGATTTTTTCCATGATTACTGACCTATTGTGAATTAAAAGAGTAATCAGATTAGCTGTCAAAGTTCCTGCCATTCTAAAACAGTTGTTTGATTTTGTGCTGTTTGATTCTGGTGTCTCAAGCAGCTTCATCTCGTATTGCTCATTATGCACAAGAAGTATCTAAATACATTATCAATTCTGTGGTCTGGAAAACTGTCATATAAACCATAAAAAGAAAATTTCTTATCCTCTGATGCACACATTTCCATATACCAAATATGATACAAGCAGGTGGAGAGGTGGGCATTTTGCAAGACTTCTAACCAAAGAGGTCAAGGGATCTTTTAACAGCAGATTTTGTACAGAAAAATGACGTTTCACTCGTCTGATTGGAAATCAGTATTACCGAGGATAAGTGCTAGAAGTCAGTTTTTCCAAGTTGTTATGGGCTGTAAGACTTGACTAGCATAGGTCAGTGTTCCTCAGACAGTTTTGATCTGTTGGCAAAGTTAGCTCCTTGGTACTTAGCTCTTGGAATTATTGAGACTAAACCCTTTACTACCTAACATCAACATGTAAGTTCTCCACACTGACCTTTATGGTACTTAGCTCTTGGAATCATTGAGACTAAACCCTTTACTACCTAACATCAACATGTAAGTTCTCCACACTGACCTCTATATATTTCCTAAGGTACTCACAAGTGGAATTTGTGTAACAATCAAAGCTTCTTTGGTTAGAATCCATTTTTTTTAGCCCTTTACACCCTAACATTAGTTTGCAAATTCTCCATACTGTTCTCTATAAATTTCCAAAGGTACCGACAAGGAGACTTTGTTTAACAATCATGAGCTCCTTTTACTTGATAATCATTTCCTTTATTCCGGTGAGCTGAATATGTGAATAAGAGGTGATATTGTAGGCAGAAGTTAGATGCTTGTCACTCTTAGGGGTTTAAAGGTTAATGTGTGATTCAGGGGTGATACTGGTAGGAGATATTAAATGCTCATCACTCTCTGGAGTTAAAGGGTTAACTGATAGCAATGACTGCAGCTTTCATGAAGGACGAAGCTCAAGCAACCTGTCATGCCAATTACTTAACAATGATTTGCTGTAAACTGGAAGAACTACCGAGTAAACTAAGTCTTTCAATCCATCCACTTCATGCAAAGGAAACCGCAATAAGCGCCAGCTGAATGGGCCATTTAGCTCGAGTACCCAGACCTACCTACCTACCTCTGATGGCTCAAACTTTCTGCAAATCCGTCTGAAAAATCAATACCACTGAAGGTCGCTGAACAATTACTACCAGAGTGGTTTGTCGATTCTCTTTCTTGTAAATCTCAAGTCTCCTATCGATAGAAATAGGCAAAACAGTATTTTGGCCAACTGATGAGCTTATACTTTCCAAACAAGTTACAAGATTACAACAGTAGGAACAAGAGTAAGAATTTCAGATGCAAAAAATTCTCCTTGGCAGCGCAAGGTCAACTCTAACATCATTTTGACGAGGCTTTTGCAAAATGTTACTATGACGAACTACTGTTAATTGCATGTGATTGGGATTGCTCAAGAATAATATTAAATCAGGAAAACATAAACGATTGGGTATGGCTGGTATTCAAAGAAATCCTGTCATCGTTTGTAAATAATGCCATGTTCAGTCGTGTGTTACACCAAGCCCAGATAAGAAAAGAATTGATCAGTACATTACAGGAACCCGTAATGGTTAAGAATGATGTAATGATTATTTACGCTTTGTCACGCAAGTTGTCATGACATAATTTCACAATTTCCGTCACGATCATGTGACTTAAAACGAAAGTCA